ACTCTTTAAATATAAAAAACGTAACCCCCCCTCTCTCTCTCTCTCTCTCTCACACACACACACACACACACACACAGGTATGATTGCCACAGAATGTGATTGCAAAATTTTTTATTGTTATTTGATGTTCAATCTTCACTCCTGTTGATTTCTGCATATTGCTGTTGGCTTTATTTACACATTATTTATTTAATTTCTTCTACATTCTAAAGTTAATTATTGTTTTTTTACACTTGGTTCTTTACCATAAAATCAATAATATGCAACTACAATCTGACTCTAAGTCTTGTCCTTTAGGTGTGTCTTATGTGGCATTTTTGTAAAAACATTTTAAAAAGACATTTCAAAATGCATCAAAAACTACAAAAAATCTACTGTTTGAAAGAATATTTATTTTAAATGTATTTTCTAATGTTTATATATACATAAATTCACAAAGTGTATCACAAAAGTTGTGATAAGAGCAGTTGGCAACATCCAGTAAAATGAATGGCTCTCTATGGCCCTCTGCTGGTCAAAACAATTTCTTTCCTAAACTGTAGTAATTTTAGGTTTAGCTCTAACCAACAGATGGCAGAATTCTACAGCTAACACCTAGATCAATATCCAGAAACAACCTAAATTCAATTTAGATCATCATTTAAGTGATTTTTTTCATAAAAATTTAATATTTCACATGCAAGCTAATGGCGTAGTTGCGGAATTCTGTGGTAAATATGAACAAAAGTACTTCATATCTCCCAAAACACATCATTAATTTATAGATGAGATGCAAACAAAAAAAAAATTATATAATTTGTATGATTAAAAATGTATATATTTTTTACAATTGCTCTTTCAATTTTGGGGTCATATTGACCCCAAAAACCATAAGTGTAAACATTAAACAAGGACCATTTGAGGGTTAAGCATTCGTAAATATTCAATTAATCATTTATAAAGGATTGTCCCTACATTAATAGACAATTAGTAAGCAGTTTATAAATGCAGGTATAAATGCTTTGTTCTTGATTTATGAGCATATCTATAATGTGTTTAATAATTGCATTTTCATAATTTATTAATGATCAATTTATCATTCCTAAATTAAGTATTACATTATGTTGCGATAAGTGAATGGAACTCATAAGCCCTTAGCAGAGCAGTTTTTACAGCATCACAATCCAAACTTATCAACCTTGACTGAAGTAGCAGTGATCACATCTCTTTGGGCCTTTTGAGGTCAAAGAGGCTTCTCATCGTCACCAGCAACACAACAACGGCCTCTTTAACAGCACTGTCCACTGGCTCGGTTGGCAAAATGTGCATGTTCACCAATCTTGGATGTAACTTGCCCTTGCACAGATGCTTAGTAGACAATACAACATGAAAGACATCTGCAATATGTAGAAGTTCCTACACTTTTTCAGTATTTCCAATAGTTCAAATAAAACAAAGTTGGATCAAACTCCATTACTAACCTCTTCCACGCATAATGAAAATATCCAATCAAACAAAATGACTCACAGGGTTGATAAAGTTATACTGGATCCCAGTTATTATGACCCTGTTTAGGGTGAGGTTAGTCACAGCATGTACTGTAGCAGTGACGTGGGACATCTGGTCAGGCCACAGCTGGGTCTGTCAGTCTCTTGTTTCACTGTCTCATCATGAGATGAATTTGAAATATTTATGAAACTTATGAAAGACTGCTATCCAACATTACACCCAAGACCTCAACCTTGGAAGATGACAACCATTCCGATTATTGGTTGAATAATTAGTACCCCTGTTTGATCAGAATGCAGTAAAAGGAAATTACTAAGCATCCAAACATTGATATTATACTAAAATCTATTAACCTGGAAAAATTGAAAGTTTTATTGTCCTGAGGAAATATAAGTCTAAGGATCATTATCATAACAGCGAAAACTAACTTCATGTTTCCTGATAATGTCTTCCAAACATATTCTCTCTTTGTCCTCTTTGAACCAGTTCAGGCCTTCATTTCTATTTTACAAGTGAGAGAATTGGCAGTGCATGGAGGTAAACCGTGAATGAACAATTTATTCACCTAAAAGATTTAAGGACTAACAGTTGTTCTCAACCAACACACTGCTGGGCCGCATTCAAACCCTGTGTCTCTGAGGGAGGACAGTTGCTCTGCCAAAACAAAAGAAGTATTTCTGCATGTAGTTTTACCAGTGTGTTTTGAGTTTGATCAAGATGAAATAATTTGTGATGACCTCACTCTAGTCATTTATTACATTCTCTCTCTTTCTTGACAGTACGAGTATTTTAATGCAGTGCTGATCAATGAGATGGATGAGGAGGGCAGGAGTTTGGAGCTGGGTGGAGAATTCATCTTGCAGCCGAATGAACATTTCAACAATCTGTCTGTAAACCTCAGCCTCAGTGTCGTCCAGGTTCCAACTAACATGTACAACAAAGGTATGATCAGCATTAAATACGCTAGACACAACATCACTGTAAGATGACATGTTCATCAAAAGGATGTTGATAGAGACATGTGTTTAGAGGTCAGTTCCAGTCTCCTGATTTAATTAGTCAAGCAGTTTCCAAATGCTGCTGATATTTCATATAGCAACACTGGAATGTTTCACTGTTTGTGATCATGTGACGCTGCATCACCCAGTGTTACTAGCCATAATTATTATTTTGAAGGAAATCTGCAACTCATCTTAAGAATTACATTTTAAGATACTAAATATTAGTGTTATGTCAACCAGAAACACACGCTCCACCTCAAAAGATTAGCATTGGTGCCACAATACATTTTTGTAGTAAAATATTATGGAGCTCAGAAATGGATTTAAAATTTGCAGTCATTCTTCTGATCATTTTAATTCAATGTAAATGCAAATCATTGAAGAAGCAAATGAAAGTAAATGCACACAATACAAGAAACTGGTGGAGAAGTGCCAGTGTAGGATCTGTAATGCTATTATCAACACTTAAAATTTCACTTGAGATCTAAAAATAAATGTTTTGCTTTTTCTAATTTTATTGTTACTAGTCAGAACGATATTTTGATATATCTTCAACTTTTATTTGACTGCTAGAAATGTATAACTTTACTGTAATCCAAGCAGATCTCAAATTAGATTTTGACTAGTCATAATTAAATGGTGGATATCTGCATGTTTTACATCATTTGATTTATTCTTATAAGGTATAAATCATACTAAAGCAAAGAGCCTCACGAAGCCATGCCTTACTGTAGCTGTTCTTAATTCACTGTAAACCACCACTTTGCAGGACTTGTTTCTTTTAAATTAATAATTTAATTAAATTAAAGTAAAATGTATTTTATTCATTAAATAAACACAGCAACAAAAATGTAATGAAATTTATAAAAAATAATAGTTCTTCGCCAAGCAACAGCACAATGGTTGCCAAACAACACACAGGTGCAGTAATACTCATGTAATGATGTTCTAGAGTACTTTACAATGGTTTTGAATGTGGCTTTACCAGTCATAATCAAAGACTGGAACGATCCATCATATAACAAATAATCTCACATACTAAAAATGTTAAGATTAAAAACAATGGTTAACTTTTTGAGGAAGACTTCTCAAAAAAAAAACTATATTCACTGTAAAAGTGTAATCAGAAGAAGGAGGATACCAACTCAAGCATAAGGGGTCCCAAGTGGAACCCAGAATGCATTGCATTACTTGCACTTAAGGATTATTTCCTTTTCTTATGAATAAAGCACCACTTGGTCACTGAATAAGATTCTGCTAAGAACTATCCCTCTCTCCTCTTTCATATGCAAATGTAGACTCCAGGGTAGGACTCTTATCAATAGACTGCTCAGCTAGTGAATAATAATTTCGAGTGAGAGTATTTTTTTTCTTCTCTGTTTCTGTTTGTTCTGCACCTTAAAGCTGAAGAATGGAAGTCTTTTTTTTTTAGCTTGTACATAAAAATGTGTGTTCTAAAACGGTCTCTTTACATTACCCTGATATTCACAACTGTAAACTTCTAAAAGGGATTTAGAATTTGAGATGTCAGGTCAGATTTTGCAGGAAAATTTCAGTTTCATGAGACCACAGGATAGGAGTTGTAAATGGTAGTGAAGCATCGCAACAAGTCACACTGTAGGTCACATGACCTAGTTGTTCAAATGCTGATACAGGTGAAATAGCAGCGCTCTTGGAAGGCCTCTCTTCCAATCAGATTCAAGGACCAGGACACACTGATTATGCCAGAGGTGAAAGACAATACATAGCATGAGAAAGTAGGTCTTCGGCCTGTAAGTTGAAGCTTGAACCCAGACCTGACTTGAACCCAGTTAAGATGCCGTGGCAGGACCTTAAACGGGTAGTTTGTGCTCGAAAACCCTCCGGTGTGGCTGAGCAGTTCTGCAAAGTAATGTGGGCCAAAATTCCTCCACAGTGCTGTAAAAGACTGTTCCCCAGTTATCAGAAGTGTTTGTTTGCAGTAATTGCTGCTAAATGTATCACAACCAGATTTTAAGTTTGGTATGTGTTGTATACGTTTACCATGTACTTCAAGACTGGACAGCAGCTGCCAGATTTCATACAAATATATATCATATATTGTGTTTTCAGAATACTGATTGATACTGATTTACTTTTAATTTACTGTAAAAAACACACGCACACACATTATATATATATATATATATATATATATATATATATATATATATATATATATATATATATATATATAAATATATATATACAGTATATATAATTATTGTTATAAATGTTCTGTCTAATTCATTCAGACTTCCTTTGCAGACTCAGCCATAGTGAATGGAGTGTACTGGTCAGAGGCACTCAATAAGGTGTTTGTGGATAACTTTAGAAGAGACCCTACTCTCATATGGCAGTACTTTGGTAGCGCCAAAGGTTTCTTCAGACAGTATCCAGGTGAGTTTTCAGTGTTTTCTCATTTCTTATATGCTGGCAGTGTTTAAAAAGTACTGCCAACTTACTTGGCTGGAGTGAGATTTTGTAGTGATGGGAAGTTTTTCCCCGCGAACTGGTTCTTTCGGATATTTCGTTCCGAAAAATAAAAATGGTTCACCGGTTCTTTTACGCCCTAACGTAATGATGTCAATCGCGATGACATAACGATGTCAAGTCTATCATCCCGGGCCGGGATGAAAATACATTCAAATACATAAAGTCAGTAATCATTACTTCAGTCAGTTAAAACATCATCAGTTTCTTACAGTTAAGATTTACAACTAAAGCACCCAAATACAGGTACAGGCACATATGCAAATGAGGATTTTTTACAAGTCTTAAAGATATAAAGTGAATAAATTAGTCCTCATCAGTGCAGAAACAATGATCCACTTACTATGCATAATCCATTACGATTTATTTGTTATTAAATAAACTTACTTTGCGCCCCTCATAGCATCAGTTGTCCAAAAGAACTGGTTCAGACATGCTGTGTTAAGTCAGTCATTGTAGGCAATCATGTGCTGTTCGGTAGCGTCACGCTGAATCACGCATGCGCAGTATCATCAGCTCATCGGTTCTCATATTGGACGTGTCTGAAAGAAACGGTTCTCGGTTCAGTGTACTGGTGAGCCAAAAACCGTTGCAACCGATTCTTGACTCGAGAAACAAGAACCACTCTAACCGGCACGTTGCACGCACATTCAGTATATCATCAGCTGCATGCTCTACTCGTGCTCATCAGCAGTTCAGTCAGTGTACTGTTTGAGTAACTGAATTACAGGATATTGGTTTATTTCGAGTCAGAGGGAGTGTCAGGCATGTTAAAGTGAATAACTTAAGTAATTTGTGGTTTAGTGCTTACTGGAGATGCAAACCGTTTCAAACGATTCAGTTCGATTTAGTGAACTGGTTTGACTGGTTTACTAAGAAGAACTGGTTAAAAATAATGATTAGTTCGCGAACTGGACATCACTAAGATTTTGATGACATAGGCTGAATCAATCAGATGGCACTATTTGAGGATCCAACAATTCATTTTTATTGAATTTGTTCCTAATCCTGTAAGTTATCCAGCTATTTAAACTTAAAAGGGATAGTTCGCCCAAAAATGAAAATCAGCTGTTAATTTACTCACCCTCAGGCTATCCAAGATGTGGGTGACTTTTTGTCTTCGGTAGAACAGTAAAGACATTTTTTAGCTGAAATCATGGTCCTTAGTGATTTCTAAAATGCAAGTCAGCGGCTATCGACAATTGAGCGTTAAGAAAAAAGCATATACAGGCAATACAAAATTAATACCAGTGGCTCCTGATGATATTGTAGTCTTAAGAAGATGGGCTGTGCAAGAAACTGAAAATTATTTACAACATTATCTGTATTCCATAGCCTCAGGCAAACAGGGAAGTCTGATTCTTTTCCACAAGCTGGTTCAAGGTTTAAATAGCCAATTTAACAGTTCTATTAGGTTTACTGTAATGAAGGATCCAAAAGCAGAGAGATGCTTAAATACAGGTTTATTTGAACAAAAGCCTTAAGCAGTTGTGCAGTCCATTGACCAGAAAATACAAACAGTCCAAAATTCCAAAGGGATAACTGGGCAGATGACAGGGACAAAAAGAGAGCAACACACAAGACCGACAAACTAATGAAATAAACAGCAAGAGGTGTGTGAAGCGTAAGAACACAAAACACACTGGCAACAAAAGGAAGAACGCAGAAGATGAAATAGCAGAGTAATCAGGGAGGAAATAATAAACAGCTGCGAGATGGCATGAGCGCTGCATTGATTGAAGAGCGTGATCACCTGAGAATGGCCACTACATGCAGAAGGAAAAGAAAAACAAAAGAGAGAAAGATCAAACCAGAGTCCTAACACGTTTATGTAAAGCCCACAATAATGATGTGAAATTGATTTTAAAGCATATAAGGTGAATAAATTTAGTCTTAGCTCATAAACTCGCTTTTTACATAAACCATGAGAAACCATAAAAAGTTTTTTCGCCCCTTTATTCAAGTGCTCAGTTCATGCATGGCTGTATCAGTAGCTTGTCAGTTCTTTGGTCCAAGTCGGAACTGCAGACCGTTTGCCTGAGGCTATGGGTTATGGGTAATAATGTTGAAAATAATAATCAATGTCTTGCGCAGACTTTTATATATTGTCAGGAGCCAGAGGTATTAATTTTGTGTTTTTGCTAAATGCGCCAGGTAGAATGTTCTGCAGAAACACATCCGCTCCTCTAAACACAGTTACATGTAAATGTAAGGAACTTTATTAAGATGTTTTTAATCATACAAGTACGTTTTTTACTTATGTAAGTGATGACAGAGGGTCTTCATTCCACAGTGCACATATTCAATTAATCGACCATGAAATTATGCCTGCCAAAGTGAAATTCCCAAACACTGTCTTACCGCTGGCGTTTCTTCATATTCGTCATCTAATACTGTACGGCGAGCTCTGTAATAGTCACCTTTGATTGGTGTAGAATACTACTGCTTTAGACCAGACCATTCGAGAATGTGTGTTTTGTCCAATCAAGTCCTATGCATCTGGAAAAATCCTATGTGCAAATGTATTGAATGATTGATTGTTTTGTTTTTTTTTGCCTTTTTTATTGCATTGTCTTGTAATATTGGTGTCTCTATAGCACACACATAAACAACATCACGTCATGCAACAGTGGTTAAAAATGAAATGATTGGAGAACCACTTTTATGAAATATGATATCAAACACCACTGCCTCTTTTCGTTTTCTTTTAAACATATTAATAGCTGCAAAAATTTAGTTCAGGGAACGTACATACATTATAGTGAAACGAAATAATATGTCAAACAGCATTGCCTCTTTTCGGTTTCATTTAAAATATTAATAGCAACAAAAATGTGCATGCAACGCGTACATGCATTACAATAAAACTAAATGATATCGAACACCACTGCCTTTTCATTTTCTTCAAAATATAAAACACAACCCTCTTCGTTTTCATTTTAAAAATATAAAACATATTAATATGTGGTTTAGGTAATATGTGCACATATACTCTAATTATCTTCACTGAATGTATAATAAAATTAAATATTATTATATTTAATGAACAATACTAGCCATTATAAAAGGATAACTATAAACTATAAGATACTTATGCAATAGGAAATAAGACAAAAGCAAACAATTCAGTCAAATGTATGCAACAAAGTCAACGTTGTATTACGATTAATAAATAAATAATTTATGAAACATAACTTTGTGCTCAGCCAAAACGATATGTCCTGGAAGAAATAATAGATTCATGAGACCAAAGATTGCCTGTTAGATTTACCCAAAATGAATTATATCTTATGTTTAACCACTACAGAGACATCAGAACCAGCGGCAAATGTCAGAGGGACTAGCCGAGGTCAAGGTCAAGTTTATTTATATAGCACCTTAAAAGCAACAAGTGCTGACCAAGGTGCTGTACAACCAAAACATCAGAAAAACCAACTAACAAAAGCATTAAGACAATATAAAATTTGAAATCATTAAATAATACAATAAGTATTGCAAGATATCACCAAACTAAGAAACAAACAGAAACAAAACAAAAAAGTATTTTCAAGTTAAGCAAAAGCCTGAGAAAAAAGATATGTTTTAAGAGATGATTTAAAAGAAGATAAAGTAGGGGATGATCTGATGGATAAAGGCACAGAGTTCCAGAGTGTAGGACCAAGAACTGAAAAAACTCTGTTCCCTTTAGATTTTAAACAAGATTTTGGGACAATCAATAACTTCTGAGAAGACTACCTAAGCGTTCTGACATTCTGACAGGAATGGAGATGATCTGAAATGTAAATTGGGGCAACACCATGAAGTGCTTTAAAAACTAAAACTAAAACCTTAAAACCTTAACTGAATTTAACAGGTAACCAGTGAAGTGAAGCTAACACAGGGGTAATATGCTCCCTCTTTTTTGTCCCTGTCAAAAAGCGAGCAGCAGCATTCTGTACCAATTGTAAACGTGATAGTGAAGACTGGTTAATTCCAGCATAAAGAGCGTTACAGTAATCCAACCTTGTTGAAATTAATGCATGAATAACAACCTCTAAATCATTAAAACTGAGAAAACTTTTCAGCTTGCGAAGCCCCTTAAGCTGCAAAAAACTGTCTCTGACTACAGAGTTAATTTGTTAGGGACTAGCCGAGGGGAGACTGCTCTCGGCGGATACATGAGCACTGAGTGCCCACTGATCACGTGGAGCTCACGTCTCCGAAATCGGCGGAGCTAATTTTCAAATAGGTGCTATCTTTATAAATAAACCGCAGATTTGAATTTTAAACAACTACATTCTCGCCTGAAATACTCTTACAACTGCGTTTCATGACACAATAACAGTAATATTTAGAAAATTATGCAGGTTCTCTAATCCGCCATTAACGCTCGCTGATTGGTGCGAAATGCATTCTGGGATACCTGGCTGCCTCTAGTTCGCACAAGTCACCTCTGGATGCATCCTTGATAAAAGGGGTGGAGCAAGAACACATCCGGGGATTTGAACTGTACTTGGCTAGATGTGAACTTTGAATTGGAACAGTACTTGGGTGACGACTGATGACATTTCACAAGTCCACAAGAACACAAGTACAGACAAGAACGCATATTGAGAAACGGCCGAAAAGTTGTTGCCATGCCGTCAAAAATAGGGGTGCACGAAAAAATCTATTCATATATGAATCGCGATTCTATCTTCTACAATTCTAATGGATTCACAAAATCAATGTTCTAAGGCAGCGGTTCTTAATGCTGTTCCTCGCGTCACCCTGCTCTGCATCTCTCTCTCTCTCTCTCTCTCTCTCTCTCTCTCTCAATCAGATCATCAGCTCAGCTCCAACAATGAACTGTTCCAATTATACACTTTATGTGTAAAGACAAACAGATATTTTTCACATAGCAATGAAAAGCGTTAAACATGGACACG